CAGGCGCCCTCGGTGCCCGCCGGTGCGTGCGGCGGGGCGTCAGGGGCGCGCCGTCGGGGGCGCCCCCCCCCCCCCCCCCGGGGGCCCCGGGGGGGGGGGGAAGCGGAGCCCCAGGGACAGCGACTGGGGTGGGGGCTTCGCTCCCGCAGGGGCGATCGGGGCGGTGTCAGCGCGGTGCGATCCTGCGTCCCGGCCATCTGCCTCCATCACGCGACGGCTGGTGCCGGGCTGGGGGAAAAGGTGTCGGCGCAAAACCAGGCGAAGATGGTGCTTGGCTTCACCGGGCCCCTGTCCCCCCCTCAGAGACCCAAGGGGAGCGAAGCCCCCGGCTGAGGAGCTCCCGTGGGGCCCCCATCCTCGACCCCCCTTCCCGGCGCTATGTTTAGCGCAGCTGTATCATCGCTTGGATGGAGCCCGGGCCGTGCTGGGAGAGCGCGGCGGTGATTCAGCGCGCGGAGCCTCGCCGCCGGAGCAGGAACGTCGGTGGCACGGCCAGACCCCCGCCTGCCCCAGCTTGGCATCGGTGGGTTACCCCTCGTGGGATGCCGAGATGCCGGGCAATTCCCATGGCTGGAGCAGGGGCCGGGTGCCGCAGCGGGGGTTTCTGAGCTGAAAATGCGACGTGAGGCCCAGGAGGTTTTGGGAGGCCGACGCCAGGCGGGCACTAGGCTGCTCCGAGGCTTCGGTGAGCAAAGCGCAGCCGTTTACATCTGAATTCCTGCCAGGGAACCAACGCGTTGCCTTCAGCGCATGGAGGAATCAACAGCTCTTGGGGGCTGGGGGGGTCGCAGGGCTGGGCTGAAAGGCAGGAGGGGACCAAGGATGCCGGGAGAAATCAGGCAGGTGCAGGCAGGGGCAGGCAGGAGCCGCGGGGCCAGGCTCTGCCGCAAACAGGGCCCTGGAAAAATCCCGAGTGCCAGCTCTGGCTTTGCTCACACTGGCAGATTGCTGCAAAGCACTTTGAAGTGCAAATTAAGGTTTTCCATCAGGTTCGAAGTTAATTTTGACGCAAAGAAAACAGCACGCCCTCAGCCCCGCGTGCGTGCGACGGAGGCAGGCAGCGTGCCGGGGCCGGGCAGCCCGGTGGGGAGCAGCGGGCAAATGCAGCTCAGCGCCCGCCGTGAGGGGCTGCACGCAGGGGATGGGGCACAGAAGTTCAGCGTGCGTTAAGGAGAAGCCTCGCAGCCGCCCCGGGAGCTGGCACGGGGTCGGCTGCGGAGAGGAGGAAGGCAGAGGGAGACTTTAGAGGCAGGAGGAGCGATCCATGCTCCTGTGGTCGTCACCCACGTAAGCCAGGCCTCGGGATTTGCGGTCCCTATTGCACCTCCATGGCCAACGCACCAGCTGGGACCACGGATATGGGCAGAGCCGGATCGGGCCCAGTCGCCCTGCGGGATGCCCTGTAGGATGCTCTGCTCTTCCCGAGGCTGCAGCTCTTCCCCAGCAGCCAACCCATGATGCCGTGGCAGGAGGCGAGGGGAGCGCAGGGCATCCCCCCCGCGGCCTCTCCTCCTCCTCCCAATAATTTCTGCAAAGTTTTAAGCCGAGAGCAGCACCAGGAAAGGTCCCCCCCGGCTGGCGGAGGGCCCTCGCCCAC